ACAATACTACAGCGAGAATAAAAGTTACGCCTTCTTTCTTTGCGTGAACATTTGGGTGGTGTTATGCAAATCTTCCCAGATCGTGACGTAGACATGTGGGGGTGTGTTAGAACGAGCCATTTTAGGTAGGCGTGGTTTACTCTTAACTTTCATAAAGAATATCTCTTTGGATTTGAGACTTTAGTCTTTGCAACTTTACAGATCTTCTTTATGCACCAAGAGCTTGTAACACTTCAAAGAGAAAGGAAAACTTGAAATTGCATCATATAACCCCTTTAATGTATATTGCTGGTGCCACACAGATCTAAAATAAACGTGCAATTTATTTCCCAGCTGTTTACCTTCAGAGACATAACCGACAGTTTTTTGTAACTCGCGTTTTTTTTACGTAAACTTGTGTGTGAATGAGAACTTAGTTTAATACTCACATGCTGTGAGTATGTCTCCATTAAATATTTTACAATTTTGCTGTTTTTACTATATTTTTAATTAAATGAATGCAGCCTTTGTGCGCATTAGACAATATAAAAGCATCTTTCAAAAACATAAAAAGATCTTACCAACACCAAACTTTTGTTGTTAATGGTAGTGTTAGTGTACTTTTTCCATTGTTATATACAGCTATCAAAATATTTTGTAACCTAGAATTAGTTGATTTTTTTATCATTCATATGAGTTTTTTTTATTATTAATTACATTCGGGTTTTTTTTTGTTTTTTTTTGTGAAATCCTTCTCCAATAATCAAGAATAACTGGATCGGTGTTCAAATTCATTGGTCAAAGTGTGAAAAGAAAACACTGACTGGATAGCTGACAGTCTGAAAAAGCTTGATAAACTTGCTTGTAGAATGTTTTTTTTTTTTTTTAATAATGTGAAATATTTTTTATTCACATTGTGTATATATAGTATATACAGTATTGTGTTTACAGTATAATGTTTAGGAATATGTATTGACAGTATTATGAATGTGTATTTGTTATTGCCATTGCCTTGCGTTATGCATCTAGGACACTTTCTCCCATTTGATGATAAGACTTGATGATAATGATCATAACTACTATAAAGATACTGAATAGTAACACTTGATGGTACTCACCTCATGTGTTATGTGATTGCTCTGTATTCTGTTTTGTACTCTGTTTGCTTACAAAGTCTGTAAGCGGAGCAGCATTTATAAGTCCATTCATTGTGCATTGTGTGCTTTTGCATACAACTAGTGCCAGGATGTGCCAACTTTCTGACCTTAATCAGCAGCACACAACCATGATACAGAATCAAATACATCTACTCATTCTTTATTACTTTTTTCCACATTTTACAGTAATCAAGCTTTTTTGGCCCTGCATAAACAACCTATTTGTCTTTAAGACTAATTGAAGTCATTTAAACTTAAGTGTCTAGATCATTTTTGATACATTCAGGTGTGTCTTAATTTCTGACCAGTTTTCATGTTTGTTGTCATCAGGTATAAGCGGAGCTCGCTGAAGATTTTGGGGACCGTAGGGGAGCCCATAAACCCAGAAGCTTGGCAGTGGTACTACAGCGTGGTGGGAGAGAAGAGATGTCCGGTGGTGGACACCTTCTGGCAGACTGAGACGGTATGAACTGTATTCTAACCACTCAGAACAGAGCAGTAACATCAATGTTGCTTTGAAACTGTCTACTGTAAGGTCACTTGTCTTTTGTTTGCATCTTCCTCAGGGTGGGCATGTGATGACCCCTCTGCCGGCCGCTACTCCCATGAAGCCTGGCTCTGCTGTGAGTGAACGTGATATAAATGAATAAATAAGTTTGGTGTTGGTAAGATGTTTTTGTATTTATACTCACCAAGTGACTCTCCTGAAGAGAAATCATTCAAATATGCGGATTTGGTGCTCAGAAAACATTTCTTATTATCAATATTAAAAACAGCTGGGCTGCTTGATATTTCTATGGAAACTGAAAATAACTGCATTTATTTGAAATAGAAATTTTGTAACATTATGAATGTCTTCATTGCCACTTTTTAGCATTTGAGTGCATTCTTGCTAAATAAAAGTGTTTTTTAAAAAGAAATAAATCTTAGTGACCCGAAACTTTTGAAAAGTAGTGTTACTAGTGTATGTATTTGTCATGTTGCTGAAAGAGACAAATGATACAATGTTCATTACCAGATATCATGTAAAATAATTTCTTCTGTTACTACAAAACTAGTGCTGTCAAACGATTAATCGCGATTAATCACATCCAAAATAAAAGCTTTTATTTTGGATGCGATTTAATCGTGATTAATCGTGTGACAGCACTATACAAAACCGAAACATATTTGTTAAATTAAGCATAGTGTGGTACAGTAGAATTACTTTTATTAATTTCTGTATGGTGATTGATGTTTTTACATATTGTAGACATTTCCCTTTTTTGGGGTTGTACCTGCTATTCTGAATGAGTCAGGGGAGGAACTTGAAGGACCAAGTGAGGGCTATCTGGTAAAGTGAATTTTGAGAATAAATAAATACAAGTTCCATATGTTTCGTCAGTATTTTTTTGTTTTTCATGTTTTAAACTTCTTAACGCTAATGAATCAGTTAAATTTTATCCACATGTGAAATTCAAGTTTAAAACACAAGCGCTTCTCTTCCTCAGGTGTTTAAACAGCCTTGGCCAGGTGTGATGAGAACTGTGTACGGGAACCACGAAAGGTTCGAAACCACCTACTTCAAGAAATTCCCTGGATACTACGTGACTGGAGATGGTAATTTGTGCTGTGATTCATATTTAGTTTTACTATAAGTGGGCATCATATAATTGTGTGAAGTGAGAGACTGTTTGTGCTTTAGTTAATGGTGAAATGTGTCTGTCCAGGTTGTCGTAGAGATAAGGACGGGTACTACTGGATCACCGGAAGGATAGATGACATGTTGAATGTGTCTGGTGAGTAGAGGATGAGGACATTCGTTTGTTTATTGTTCTTTTAATTTAATTACATAATCCCAAAATTTCTCCCGTTTTGTAAGTTCCCCAATGTGGAGAGAGAAAATGTGTGGCCTGGACCTACAGATGCTGAAATAATGCAGATTAATGAGTTTCGAAAAGAGCTAATGATGAAATTCAGGCCACACTTTCCAATCATTTGTCTCTTGCCTGTTTTCTATCTCTACTGATATGACTCTAGAGATTTACAAAACATTAAAGTAGCCTAATTACCAACAAAATGGCCTGTAATAGAGCAAAAGCTTTGATATATTGGTGGTGGATATATTTCTTCCAGGGCACTTACTAAGCACTGCAGAGGTGGAGTCGGCTCTGGTGGAGCATGAAGCTGTGGCTGAGGCAGCGGTTGTGGGGCGGCCACACCCTGTTAAAGGCGAGAGTCTTTACTGTTTTGTCACCCTCAATGACGGAATCAACTACAACCAAAAGCTGGAGGGGGAGCTTAAAAAGCAAGGTGTGTTTGCTGAAAGGAATATTTCATGCAAGAATTACAATTCTGTCATCATTTAGTCACTCTCATGTAAAAGGTCGGTCACAGTACACTTTTCGTTCCATTGACTATTAATATGTATACGAATGCGGGACACAGGAATGCAAATTTTGCTCTCCAAAGTTCGGTGAACGCTGCCCTGCGAATTCGTATCATATGAAGACCAATAGAAGATCAGCGTGGACTCTTAGCTGAATTTAAAGAAAAAAAACACAAACTTTACAGTAAAGTGATGTAGATTATGTATTTTTACATTTTTGGATGTATTATTATTTGGATGAATTATGTTTTTTAAAAAGATGCTGGGAAGTATGATGTCATTACGGCCTTTGCATTGTCTGGAGAAAATATGCATGCGCAAAATCTAGTGCATTTGAACTGCTCTTTTCAATACAACAAAAGTGATTTGAAACTGTCAAACTTTAATAAGGATAAACAAAAGTTTGCGTATATATGTGCTGTCAAAATTAGCGTGTTAACACAGGCGATTAATTTTTCCAGTTTAACGACGTTAAAAATATTTAACGCAATTAATGCAGGGGCAGAGCTAGGGTTGGCCACCCCTCTCACAACTGCTGCTTCCTTCTCTTGTTTTCTTGACAAGAATTGCGTTTATTTAGACGCAGAACATCTTTACGACCACATCAAACAGGAGACTTTACAGACACGCTCTCTACTTTGCCTCAGCGCCAGGCACGAGACAAACGAGCGCGGAAACGGTACAGGTGACGAGGAGCTTCAGTAGAACAACAGTGAACTGCAGTCAGATGAGATGTTGTCAGGCCCTATGTCAGTAAAAACAAAATCTTCCTGTCCTGTCAGCCGTTATATGTGCTCGTAGCGTGTGCTCTTCAATTACACGTACAAATGTGGCGGCGCGCGCTGTAGCCTGTATCATTTCATATTAAATCGCGACTGAAACTACCAGCATACATGTCAGATCTGAGTCACGTTCAGCAGCAGCAGCTCTTAAAGTAATAGCAGCCAAATAACATAACCCAGCTGCTGTGATGTCTTTTCATCAAAGAACAAGAAAAAACAGGAAATCAATAACTTCTGTAGCTTTAAGGATTCATCTATATTTAATATAGAATTTAGTGTTTGATAACTACCTACTTGCTGAAGGGCACAGGTAAATATGTCATTTATTATAATGCGTTTATGTGAAGAGTTTTTTTTTTTTCATGAACTACAAGTAATGGCTTTCTTTTCACTTCCCTTTTTTCTCAAACAGTGAGAGAGAAGATTGGTGCCATAGCTACACCTGACTTCATTCAGAATGCACCCAGCCTTCCAAAAACCAGATCAGGTATTAATATTGGACTGTTTATTATTAAAGCCTTAACGTTTAAATTAATGCAGGGGCAGAGCTAGGGTTGGCCACCCCTCTCACAACTGCTGCTTCCTTCTCTTGTTTTCTTGACAAGAATTGCGTTTATTTAGACGCAGAACATCTTTACGACCACATCAAACAGGAGACTTTACAGACACGCTCTCTACTTTGCCTCAGCGCCAGGCACGAGACAAACGAGCGCGGAAACGGTACAGGTGACGAGGAGCTTCAGTAGAACAACAGTGAACTGCAGTCAGATGAGATGTTGTCAGGCCCTATGTCAGTAAAAACAAAATCTTCCTGTCCTGTCAGCCGTTATATGTGCTCGTAGCGTGTGCTCTTCAATTACACGTACAAATGTGGCGGCGCGCGCTGTAGCCTGTATCATTTCATATTAAATCGCGACTGAAACTACCAGCATACATGTCAGATCTGAGTCACGTTCAGCAGCAGCAGCTCTTAAAGTAATAGCAGCCAAATAACATAACCCAGCTGCTGTGATGTCTTTTCATCAAAGAACAAGAAAAAACAGGAAATCAATAACTTCTGTAGCTTTAAGGATTCATCTATATTTAATATAGAATTTAGTGTTTGATAACTACCTACTTGCTGAAGGGCACAGGTAAATATGTCATTTATTATAATGCGTTTATGTGAAGAGTTTTTTTTTTTTTCATGAACTACAAGTAATGGCTTTCTTTTCACTTCCCTTTTTTCTCAAACAGTGAGAGAGAAGATTGGTGCCATAGCTACACCTGACTTCATTCAGAATGCACCCAGCCTTCCAAAAACCAGATCAGGTATTAATATTGGACTGTTTATTATTAAAGCCTTAACGTTTATGATGCTCAAGTGTTCTTTGTTTTATTAGGTAAGATTATGCGTCGTGTCTTGCGGAAGATAGCGTGTAATGAGCGGGATTTGGGTGATGTGTCTACGCTAGCAGACAGCTCTGTCATTGAACAACTGTTTGAGAACCGCTGCTGTACTGCTGTGTGACCACCAGGGGCACCCAACACAACGCCACTGTCTGGCCCCCATACCAGCTTCAGTTTTGGAGGGAAGAGGATGAGTCTGAGCTATAATGGAGTTTAGGATAATGCTAGTGGGCAGACAGAACGAAAAAAGCTTCGAAATGTATAATTCCTACTACAATTCACCGACTTAAAGTAATCTCTTGGAAAACCCAAGGTTTGGGTTTGGCATAGTTTTAACTGCATTTTTACAGGACCCAATTGTATGTTAGAAAACATTGTCCCACAATTTTATTTTTATTATGTTTATAATTTCCTTCTCTTTCTCCATGTGTCAGTTCATTAATCTTTATATGACTATACTGTCCTGCTTTCAATGTGCCAACATAACCTCAAAACAAGTTTTTTTCATTATTTTTTCACTACTAAAATGGGAAAATAAGACTGCATATGTCATGATTTTGTTGTGTACTATGTAATAGCGCTTTTTAAAATCTCTCTGCTTTGGTTGAAGGTTTCATTTTAACATTTAAAGCTACACATTGTATAGAACTTTCTATACAAGCCAAAGCATGCATTAATATTTACCAGAATAACATGGTATCATGCAGGTGTCACCAATGTTAAAACTGAACTATGTATATTTTATTCCTGGAACAGTTTGCAACTTTGTAATAAAAGTTTGTGCGTGAACTGATATTATATTTCTTTAGGAAAGTTATGAAAGAGCTATGATTGACTGCATAAAGGCTGTATGTTCATTTAAAAAAAAAGCACTTAACAGAAGTAAATGACATTTCTAAACATGATGGTGGTCTTCTTGTAGTACTGATACTTAGACCCGTTCAGTGGGCTTTCCATTTTATCAAGTCATATTTCAAGTCGTATTTTTTATTGTGAAGGTATCCTCTCAAGAAGCTTTTTCAGGAGAAAAGTGCTCAAATTCCAGCCGTTATATGAGTGTACTGTGCTCTCATGTGACTGAGACTATAGTAACAGTAACTGTATTTGTTACTATTGTCAGATTGATTTCTTCCAGCTTGCCATTAACTCGAGTTTTGGATGTTTCATAGCTCTTAATGTGGATGAGTATTAGCTGTCAATGCTTTTCTCGACCCTGTAAGCATTCACTAGCCTGTATGATGAGCGACTGAACCTTTGAACTTATTTTCCGTCTCACTCATTTTCTTGTAATCATTTGAGCAGAGCAATGTCTCAAACAGAGCTGGGTGAATTAAAGTGCTGAAATTTTAACATTCATGTTTATGGTTTCTGCATGTGTCCTTCCATTCTATTTTTTTATTTTATTTTCTGGAGGAGTTGCTTAATAAATTAAGTCATAATGACTTCATAAATAATCATTATCTGCTGCTATTGAAAGAAATTGATACTCTAATTTTGCAAAGATAAAATAAAATGACCAAAAGTGACAGTCAAGTAAAGGCTGTTTTTTGATTCATCAAAGAAAACAAACAAAAACTGGGCAAAACCAAAATGTATCACAGTTTCCAGAAAAATATTAAGCAGCACAACTGTTTTCAACATTGATATGTTTCTTGAGGACCAAATCAGCATATTAAAATGATTTCTAAAGGATCATGTGACACGGAAGACTACAATGGCTGCTGACAATTCAGCTTTGCAATCACATGAATAAGTTATGCTTTAAAATATATTAAAACAAAAAAGCTGGAATAATATTTTAAAATATTCCTGTTTTTACTACATTTTGGGGCAAATAAATGCAGAGACTTGTTAGAAGACTTACTGACTGCAAACTTTTAAAGTGTAAAGCATCTTCCAGGTTTCTGACCTTTTCAACCAGTTTGTTTACCAACCTAAAGTAGCATTCTTCCTACAATCCCCCAGTTAAAAAAAAAATATTATTACAGTTCTTTTATATTATTCAACGTTTCGTGCACCAAAACCACCCTTTCACTGAATTTTGTGTTTGCTGCTGTACCTTTAAGACTTAGCCTTCCATGTTGAATGAGTTGAACTGAATCAGTTAATGATTCATTGTTTTGAGCTTTTTTTTTTTATTAACCGGGTGATTCAGATTCGGGTGTGCCTCACACATCCTGAAAAGTGAAGTTGCGGGCTCTTTGATCGCCCCCTGGTGGCTGGCTGCAGTACAGGTCATAAACCCCGCCCTCTCCATGTAAACGAATGGGACTTGATACAATTTTCCGAAAGATGGTTTTGGTCATTAAAGGTTGTTGTTATCACGCTGATATATGTTCAATTGTTCGTTTTTGTGATAAGTTTGATTTTAGCTAGTAATTTGATGCTATAAAAATGGGGCGTGTAGTTATGGTTGATTGGGTCTGCGGGAGTTTGATACCGCGGCTCCACCTCACGACACTACTGTGCAGACTCTGGCTCCAAACAAATATCTACTGCGCAGACTCTGGCTCCAAACAAATATCTACGGCGCAGACTCTGGCTCCAAACGAATCTCTACTGCGCAGACTCTGGCTCCAAACGAATCTCTACTGCGCAGACTCTGGCTCCAAACGAATATCTACTGCGCAGACTCTGGCTCCAAACGAATATCTACTGCGCAGATAGTGGAAGGCATAGGAGACGCGTCGTCCATCTTTTTTTACAGTCTTATGTTCAGATTATAAATTCAAACTGAATGATTCATTCACTAAATTCGACTCACTGAATCAGCCTACTTATATTATGCCCTAAAAGTATGTACTCTTTTGGTGAAGAAAAAGTACACACTTTTGAGTGTGTAGTAGAAGAGTAGGCAAGCTTTGGGACATACTATCAAGTCACACTAACTGCGTCTTTAACGGACGCTCTGTCGCATAGGTACACGAACCGTCACTGTAAACTGGCCTGTCCATCATCTTGTCACAGTTAACATCCTCCACATTGCATTTCATTTAACTTCCTACCCTACTGGAGAGAAAAGAAGTAGCTCGTTGATCTGCCAGTAGCGGGTCTTTCATGCCGAGATGCTTATATTTTCTGCATAATGATGCATTTAAAAGTTAACGACCAAATGGATGTTTATAAAAGTTCATATTGTTGTTGCAGATGAAGTATAACACAGATAACATTAAATAAATATTTTTTACACCAGGTTAACTGTCGAATATTAGTAACTCAGACCCCTTTTTCTAAGCCTCTCTACTTAACCGCCGGTCACACACATCCGCCATGTTTGTAGTTTATTTTAACGCGTTTTATTCGTGTTTGTAGTACTGGACCGAATCCTTCACCAAAGCGCAATGGATTGTGGGCAATATTAGCCATTAGAGTGTACACGCGTCCACACTTCAAAAATCGACCTGAAATAGTAGGCCATCCGGGGACTTTTGGCATACTCTTTTCAACATACTATGCTTTGGGACACACTTATTCTAATCTCACATGCTATTTAGGATGGATAGTATGAACACTGAGACGCAGGAAAAGATTATCAGTGAATAATGACTCAAATTTCTTTCTGTTCCTAACACAGAACTATAGTAATACCGCCTCATATCGTCCGGGCAACATTTATGTTACCTTTCTGATGTGTAATTTTTTTTGAAGATTAACAGCTGTCACAAACCATTGAATGGAAAACACCTGTGTGAATATCTTAATTTTTGTTCCACAGAAGAAAGAAAGTCATACAGGTTTGAAACACCATGAGGGTGAGTAAATCATGATTTGCTCTTTAATATGCATGTATATACGTACTTTTCTATCCTTTTGTACATATTCCAACTACACATAAAGTCAACAAACCTCCACAAGATGGCGGTGATTCCAAAATGTTCACTTCATGAAGACAACGAGAATGTCCTCTCTTCCTACTAACTAAGTATCCAAAGCAGGTTAATGTCATTTTCCATTACATAAAACCCCTTTTCTGCATGAAGTACACACATGTCCAGTTAATTAACCCATAGGTTCATGTTTGGTGCTCTTTTGCTGGGTGAAAAGCCCACTGACCATCTGTTATTCAAGCTGTGTGAAAGTGATTGAATAATTCATGCCAGAGTGCTCAGTTTGCTGTCTGGGGAGGGATTGTGAGGATCAGAGGGCAGTCCACTCATTTTTCTTTGTGTATATGTGTGTGTATGAAGGTAGGGACTGGATTAATGTTACCACTTGTGACTTTACTGTCCTCACATATGCGTTATAAACAAGAGATGATGAAGTGATATTTATATAACAACGTATGGTTTGATAATCATTTTAATAATTGTGGAAACAGGTGAATCCATACATTTGGCTACAACAAGATTGAGTGGCATTGAGCTAATGTTTCTCTTTCTATATTCAGCGAGAATATATTTAATATACAACATTTGTCTGCAGCTGCTGAACTCTGAATTCTGCCCTGTCTTCAGTTCAGTCCATTTCAACAGTATAAAAACACTCTTTTACACACACTTACACTTTCGCCCTCTTCAACAGATTTCATTTTCTTCTTTTTTTATTATTACCACTTTATTTCTACTTCCTTTCATCTTGTTGATGTTTGTTCTGTGGTACTTCAGGGAGGCAACAAGCCCTGTGTCAGATAATAGCTCAATATTCTCCAGGAGGTTTTGCTGTACGGCTGAAAGCTCTACTGCATGTCTTTGTGTCTGTTTGGCTGAAGGGCATCAGGGCTCGTGTTTGTGTGGACTGGGATGCACCGCAGCGAGAGGCAGGTGAAAATCATACAGTTTAACATGCAGTCTGGTTTGACCCGAGGCTATTTCTTTGTTGTTGGTGGTGTTTTAATAAAAAAGAAAGCCCTTATGTTACTTCATTGACAGTCATAAGCGATTAAAAACACATTCAATTTGGTATTCCATGTGGAAAATAAATGTAGTATAAATTTGTATATTATATAGTATATTTTCTTATATAGGCCTAAAGTTTGGCTCAGTAAGTGATATTTATTTTGATACAGGTTTTTTTGTTGTTGTAAAATTAATACTTTTTTTAAGCAAGGATGCGTTAATTTGATCAGAAGTGACAGTTGCATAGTGATTAAAAAATGCATAATGATTTCCACAAAAATATTAAGCAGCACAACTGTTTTCGACATTGATAATAATAAGAAATGTTTTTTGAGCAGCAAATCAGCATATTGGAGTGATTTCTGAAGAACAATGTGACACTGAAGACTGGAGTAATGATGCTGAA